CTGGCTGTGATGACATTAGTGGGGGAGAGGGAATCTCTTACTTTTTTCTCTGCTTCCAGTTCTCTTGGCATGGGTCTAATGGCAGTCATGGAAATGTAGATAAGATTCCTTGTTGCTTCCAGTGTGTTAAATTCTTCAAACCTGCTCAAGCTAGGCGAACAGCTATTCACCAAAGCGCCCCAGGGGAAAACCAGGAGCAACAGTTAAACTCCTAGAAGAAGGTCTCAGACTGGATATAAGAAAAAACTTCACGGTTCGTGTGACCAGACTCTGCAATAGACTCCCAGCGGGGGTGGTGCAGGCACCTACCCCGGAGATCGTCAAAAGGAGCCTGGATACACACCTTGCTGGGGTTATTTGACCCCAGCAGTCTTTCCTGGCCAGAGCAGGGGGGCTGGACCCAGTGATCTCACAAGGTCCCTTCCAGCCCTAAACTTCTGTGAATATGGTACGTTCTTCAAACCTGGCTCTTAGGCAAGACCTTTGCCATCTCCTCTCAGCCTTATTTACATTAAGGAAATGACCCATTCTTGACAGCTGGGGAAGAATTGCTTGCTTGTACAACAGGATTATGGCAACGGTAGGAAGAGCCAAACTCTACATCAGCCATTGTAAGAATTGTATTAGACCTCTAATGGAAGGAAGTGTCTAGGACACTTTCTATGGTGCTAAATGTGGTTGGGCTCTGACATCAACTGCCGTCTCACTTTCCTCCACCACTGCGGAGGAATCTGCAGTTAACCATTGTCTCATGTCATTTTTAGTGTAAATTTTTAGCCATAAGCTGTCTCTAGGTTTGTTATTTTTAACCAGCGATTTTCCATTGTTACTGTGACTAGGAATGTATTGAGTGTTAGCACTGGTGAGAGAGTTTTGGCAAAAGCAGAGGGAAATGACCTGCAACAATGCCAGTGCAGTACCAACAGTGATAGCAACAATAGAAAGCCATCGGCAAAGAACTTGATGTACGCAAAGCTATGAGAGCCATATTAAGTCTGTTTTCAAAAATAGTTTAGCTTAACATGGATTTAATGCCCTGTGCTTGTTGCCTGTGTAAGCCAGACAAATCATGTTAAACCTGCTTTTAGAAAACATTTGTCAAGATCAGGTGTCTGTTTATTCTTGAAAATGGGTTTAACACACTGGTCGGCAGTCAGGCAGCGTGTTAAATCTGTTTGTGAAAGCAAAGAGCTGTGTTTTCTGGACAATTAAGTATAGCCTGCTACTAAGTATCATGTTGGGATCTGTTAGTGGGGGGGGGGGGTTTGTTTTGTTTTTTAAATGTACTCTCATGTGATCTGTCTGATCAGTTTGAGGATTCTCACTTTAAGTTTGCTGCCAAAGTATATACCCTTATCTGGTAGACCTTAAACTGTTCCATTGGAGCAGTTTGTCTAAATGGTTGAAGTATTTATGCGTACCTGATGATAGCTAATTCTCTCTGAAGGAATTTTAAATGCCACACTCCTGTACATCTAGTGGCTTTGGGGTATGTCTGTAGTTAATGTTCTGCAAATTTTGTAAAGCTGTCGCAGAAGTTATGAATTATTCCTTTGCCTTATGAATAGTGTGTCTAGGAAACAGTGTCTTTTCCGCCCTTTGAAGGTAGGCTGTACATCACTGCTCTTTTTAAGTGCTCTCTTTCACAAGCTCTAGCACGGTGGTAAGGTGTACAAAGCGTTAAAGCACTCACAAAAATGTTACCCAAAGAACCTTGTCTACAAAGTGTTAAAGCACTCACAGAACTCAACAAAAGGTGGGAAACTGAAGTTAAGATTAGCTTTCCATTTCTTGTGTGTGTGTGTGTGTGTGTGTGTGTGTGTGTGTGAAAACACCTGTACAAATAGGAGGAGTTAATGACACTGTGTCAAAGCCTTGTGTGTGTATGTGCGTGCATGAAAACACTGGTACAAATAGGAGGAGTTAATGACTGTGTCAAAGCCCTGTGTGTGTGTGCGTGCGTGCGGGGAAAACACTTGTACGTATAGGAGGAGTTAATGACAGTGTGTCAAAGCCTTATCTTTGAATTTGCTAGCTTTGTTGGTTTGTGTCACAACCTTAATGTTACTTAAACTAAGTATTCTATTTAATTATAATGCTTATAATAAAGTCAGATGTCAGCTCACTTGGCTGCATGCTTAGGCCTGTAGAATGCGGAGTGCTTTGCTTGTAACTGCATCCGTTGTCTCCTTTCATTATCTGTTAATGGTACTCAACATGACAGGGTTGTTTTGATAAATGGAGAGTGCTGTGAAACCTGGGCTGGAGTTCTCCATGGAGCGGAGTTTAGTCCCTAAATTCAGTTCAACGCAGGGAAACTATGTACTAGACCAGAGGCAGGAAATAGGCGATGCCCTCTTTGAATCCCACAAGCTACGGGCTATGGAGCTGTTAGAGCCGAGTCTAGTTCACCTTTTGTACTCCAGCGCAGGGTGGTTCTTCTCGGGATGCTTTTTCTACATATTTGGCTAAAATAACAAGAATAGTTTTTTGATTTAAGGCATCTAAATGACATACTGTTATTTTTGTCTCTGTGTGCCTTTTGTCTAGTATTTCCCCTCTGCAGGTCCCGTGCCTTGAAATGATTTACATTGTATAGTTTCAAAAACAATCCATGTTGGTGAAAACTTGAAGTATTATTGCCAAATGAGAGAACAGGTTCAGGAAAACCTCCTGTCTCTATAAGCCTTGGGGTTTGGGGAAATGGAGAGCACCTGTTTCCAAACAGGTTTTGAATTAATTGTTGCACTTCTTAATTAAAGAAGATTACTAAAGATTAATTCTTTAGTAAATTAAACAGAATTGCTGGTGGAGGTGCTCTTGTTACTTATGACCTTTGGGTACCTATTATTTGTCTGTCTATAAAATGAGGATGCTGCTGCCATTATTTCACAAGGATGGTGTGAAAGTTGACCAACTGGTTCTTGACATTTTGGCATGGGTGTGTAACATCATCGCTGGAATGTATGTAATTGCTCTCATTCAGGAATTTCCAAGGTGTACAAGACAGATTAGTGTTAGATCCATTTTAAAGGTGGGAAGACTGGCACAGAAAGACTGAGGTTTACTCTAGATGTGCCTGCAAATCAGGAATATGGTATAATCCTCTTATCTTCTGAAAACCACTGGAGGGTGATTACTCTGGTCTTTTTTAAGATCTTGCATATAAACTGAGTCCAAGTTGTAGAGTCAGTCATGGAGTTGAAGGACTAGATTTCCAATCACGTAGGCTTTTGGGGGACTTGTGCTCCTAATCAGTACACTTAGGATAGAAGTAGCAACCACCAAGGCACTTCTGAGAATCCCAGGTAAACAGGATGTCTTTCAAGTAAACGGAGCCAAGCCTGAATTAATTTACTGCCAGAGAACACTTTCTTTTTGAAGTCATTGGAAGTTCACTTTTTCCTAAGTGGACACTGGAGAAATATGTTCCTTTTCATGGGCTGCTGTGTGTCAGGCCATACACTATTTGATTAGAAAAGTGAAGTGAGGATAAATGTAGTGTGGCTGCTTTGTACTTGGACTTTGGGATTGATTTCAGCTCTGACAGGTGTGGAGCTATCACAACGCCACTTGGTTATGAAGCTTATTTTCAACCAGTGCATTCCTCCTAGGATGGGCTCCAATTGAGAAGCTAATGTACAGTGGATCTTGCAACAGAGCCAAGCTTGCACTACGCACCACCTTCAATTTGTATTGCTCACAGCAGCTTTTCAGGGTGGCAGGGGTGTTGTACTTCTTTGTGCATTAGCTGTGCGAGTGGTTTAGGGAGCTATTTTCAGCAAGCACAGCATTTCTAAATTTTCAGGTTGCACATTTTCATTTTGCAGAAGGCTTTGATGTGAGAGCGGTGAGCACCATACCAATGCCTGCGTGTCGATATGAGCCCTCCCCCCCCAGCTTACAGCATCTGGAAGAAATGAGACGGGAGAGCAGACTTAACCTGATGGGGATGTGATATAATTGTGTGGGACCATGGTCTTGAACGTCTTTTTGGAGTTGTAAAGCAGCGACAAAGAGGTTAACGGAGGCTAAAATATTGCTCTGTAGCTGTTTATTTGCTTGACAGACAAGATGCTGTGTATCCTTGCCAAGAAAGAGACTTCTTGCAAGTTGTGCATCTCATTCAGAAGGGGGAGACCCTAAAGGGTTTTGCCCCAAATAAAGTTGGCATCTCCCAGAGCGGCAAGATTTGCTGTTGTTGCATGAAGTGTCTCTCTGTGCATCTCTGTTGCTGCATGAAGTGTCTCAGTGTCTGTGTTGTTGCACGAAGTGTGTGCGCGAGTGTCTGTGCTCAGTTGCCAGATTCAGAGAAGTTCCCCGTTGGTTTTAAAGCCACATGACAAGGCGCGTGTATTTATTGCATTATTAGACCAATTTCTTTCGAGTCATTTTAAAAGAACAGATGGATCTTTATTCTCTTGTTGGG